TTGATGTTTATATGTTCCATTTCATTTTTGACAATTTCCAATTTTCCTAGATTCATACTACATTCCATGTTCTGATTGTTGGATGTTTACAGCTGTTTCTCTTCATTTTGAGTTGTGCCCCATCAGCAAAGAAAAGTCCCACAAGCTTTACTCCATTCGTGTTATCACGGTCAACTCTATTTTGAGGAGGCAGATCTTCCCCAATTGTGCTTTAAGTATCTTCCAACCTGACGGGCTCACTTTCTGGCACTATATCTGACAGTGTTTCTCTGCTATTCATAAGGTTTCCAGTGACTAAATATTCAGAAGCAGTTTGTCACTCCTTCTTCCTAGTCTGTCTTCGTCTGGAAGCTCATCTGAAACCTGTCCACCATGGGTGACCCTGCTGGTATTTAAAATGCCAGTAGCATAGCTTCTAGAATCACAGCAACTCACAAGCAGACCACAGTATGACAAATTGACAGATAAGTGGTGGAGAAGATACTTTACTAGCTATGATATGATCCTAAAACAATAAATATTAGTAATTTAAATTAAGTTCCTTCAGGTCAGTTCCAACTCATAGTGACCCTGTATAGAGTTTCTGAGGAGCAACTGGTGGGTTTGAACCACCAACTTTGTGGCCAGCAGTTCAATGTTTATCCTACAGCACCATACCAGGTTCTGTATGATAAACTCCAATAATGATACATACAATGAATTCTAGACTGCTAAACCCATTTGCTCCTTGAAAACCTTATATAGAGTTACTATAAGTCAGAACCGACTCAGTAGCACTTAGCAATAACAACTACCACCACCATGTCATCAGTTCAAACCCACCATCTGCTTAGAGGTAGAAAGATTAGGTTCTCTGCTCCTGTATACATTTATACATAGTAGGAACCAACTCTACAACACGTAACAACATTATAAAATTGTACTGCAGCTAAATGCCTTTCCCAGTTGTTTCCTTAAAATAAAAGGGGGTGGGATGGATTGTGAATACTAAAGCAAACTATGAGCTTTTGTTAGTAATGTATCAATATTAGTTCATCAACTGTAAAAAACTGTAATAAAGGAGAAATAGAGTGCAGGGGTAGGGCATGGTACTTCTCTGTACTCTGCATACCTATAATTACTGGCTTGGTGCTGTGGGCTAATGTGCTGAACTGCAAAGTTGGTTTGAACCACAAGGTTGGCGGTTCAAGCTCACCAGCTGCTCCTTGGAAATGTTATATAGGGTCACTAGGGGTTGGAATTGACTCAATAGCACTCAATGACAACAACGACATAATTGCTCTAAAAAATAAAGTCTATTTAAAAAAAATGTCTCTCCAAATGATTGAATAGCCTACTGTTTTAAAGACAGATGCTATCTTTTTGGCAACTTTGATTTATAAGGATTTGTTTTTAAATATGAGATTACAAGTAAAATGGGAACAACTATTTCATAGTTCTGGTGTGGCACTGTGGGTTAATGCGCCAGACTGCAAAGCCATTTGAACTGCAAGGTTGGCGGTTCAAGCTCACCAGCTGCTCTTTGGAAACCTTATACAGGGTCACTATGAGTCAGAAACAACTTGATGGCAACATAGTTAACCATGACTTCCATGACTTCAGTAAGTCATGATTAATCCTAAAATTTAAACATCTTACTTACTGTCATAGTGACACTGTAGATGATTTCTGAGATTGTAAGTCTTCTTAGGAGCAGAAAGCCTCATCTTTCTCCTGAGGAGCAGCTGGTGGACTTTAACCACCGAACTTGAGGTTCGGTATAGTCCAGTACTTGTCATTCAAAGTCACCGTGCTCCCAAACATCTTTGTTGTTTTTGTTGTTGCTAAGTGCTGTCTAGTCGGTTCTGGCCCATAGAGACCCTGTATAGGGTTTCCAAGGAGCTGCTAGTGAGCTTGAACCACCGACCTTGTCGTGCAAACGACCTTGCAGTCCAACGCATTAACCCACAGTGCCACACCAGGACGCCTCCCAAACAGCTTACTAGACACACTAGACAATATAAAATCCATTAGTAGATCTTGGTCTAGATTTGTCCTTCTTAAGTAAAGAATCATACAATATTACAGCTAAAGAACTCACAGAGGACTCTGATTTATTCAAAGATGATGTTGTTGTTGTTAAGTGCCGTTGAGTTGGTTCTGACCCATAGCGACCCTGTACAGGGTTTCCGAGGAGCAGCTGATGAGCTTGAACCACCTACTTTGCAGTTCAAAGGACTTTGCAGTCTGGCATATTAACCCACAGTACCACACCAGGACTCCTTATTCAGAGATCGTTGTTGTTGTCGTTATGTGCCGTGTAGTTGGTTCCAACGCCAAGTGACCCTCTACGGGGTTTCCTAGGCTGTAAATCTTTACGGGAGCAGAAGGCCTCATCTTTCTCCCGTGGAGCAGCTGGTAATTTCAAACTGCTAACCATGATATTAGCAGCCTGATTCGTAACCACTACGCTAAAGATACGCTCCTAAAATACTAAGGAAAAAAAAATGCTGTAGAACAAGTATAGGCCAAATTTTGTTATGTTTTAAGGTAAAACTTTAAATTTTAAATTTTTAACTTCTCTAATCTAATGGTAAATAGTCACCAAAGTTAGAATTCAAAATTCATCAGCGTCACTGAGGAAAGGTTGCACATGCATGCATGTTTAATTGTTCGTTGTTGCAAGTTGATTTCAATTCAGAGTGAGCCCATGTGATCTTTCAGAAGCCATTGCTAAGCCTCTTTTCTGAGGTGCCAATCGGTGTTGAACTACTTTAATTATGGCAGCAATATAACTTATAGTGGTACTTTCTGCCTTTCATCTTTCTCTAGGGAAAAACATGAAACCCAGAACATTATTAGCACATGAATTTAGAAAACTCTTCCTGCCCTAAAACATCTTAACATTATCAGGAAACTAATGAAAATCCTCTTCTAAGAAGCAGGATTTGGTGAACTTTAAATTGCTCTAAATTATTGTTAGAATTCTAAGGGCTAAGTGGCTTGCCAAAGGCCTCAGTCACTTATGGAGAGGAGAACTGAAGCAGTTTTCTCATTCCTACCACACTCCTCCATTCACGGACCTACTGCCTGTGCTCAGTGAAGGGTGATGGCTTTGATTTATTGGAATTCTTTTCTAAGATTACACCAAGTACATTTACAAAGAGCAAGGTTACATTAATTTCATAGGCTCCTTGTGTGGTGTTGTAGGATAAGCACTGGACTGCTAAACCACCAGTTGCTCCTCAGAAACCTTATACAGAGTTACTTGAATTGGACAATAATTCATGCTACTGAAGCGTCTTTAGAGTTCTTTTCTCTTAAATGTAAACAAAAATTTTTTTTTCTTGAGATGTAGGGGGGCAGGGAACCCACAGAAATTAACATGAACCAGAAGAAAGATCAAGGACATGAAAGAATATGAAAGAGAACGAACACACTCCTCCACTCAAGAACTTACTGTGTGTGCTCAGTGGAGGGTAACAGTTTTGATTTACTTGTACTCTTTCCAAAGATTACACCCAGTACATTTACTCAGAACAAAGTTATAATAATTTTATGCAACACTATTGAGGCTTTTTTTTTTTTTTTAGAATTTTGTTTTCTTAATCTTAAAAAAAAAATGTCTTCATGGGATATGTGGGGGATGGGGTTGGAAACCCAAAGAAATTAAACTGAATCAAAAGAAAGCAAGAACATTCATAAGCTAAATACGTTAAGTAGCCAACGTTTTCTTTTGAAGAAAACAGTGGTATGCAAGTAAATTTCCAAGTTTTTTTTAAAGCAGTAAATCAGGTACCACTCAGGATTCTCAAAATTAATCTCATTGCTAATAAGTTGATTCCACCAGAGTAGAATACTCCCTAGGGTTTCCAAGGCTGTAAATCTTTAGGGAAGCAGACTGCCACATCTTTCTCCCATGGTTTACCCATTGTGCCTCCAGAGCTTTCACTTAAAGGGAGGCAGCTACCTATGCCAGAAAGTTTTCAAGACTCATTTCTTAAAGTTTTGAGTGATGGAGGCGGTCCTGAGCTGGAGGGCAAAAATGGGGAGGCGGTGAGCTCCTTCAGTGCTCTGGGAGAGTGCCCACTTAGTATTTGAGTCCCAAATCACACCTGCTCAGTATACTGCACCTACCTCCGTAGGGTGGAAAACGATGTTATCTAGTTTGAAATCTCCGTGAATCAAACTCTCCTCATTGTCATTATCTGGCAAGTTTTTTGTTAGCCAGTCGGATAGCTGCTTCATGGCAGGGATGTCCTGGTGGGCTGCTGCTTCATACTGTTTAGTCCAGGTTGATATCTAAAGATACATAAATAAGAAAACAGACAGAGCTGAAAAGTCAATGTAAGAGCCAGCATCTTAGATTATCGAATAACAAATTTTGATAATGTATCATTTACTTTTACTCCTAAATGCTCAAGATGAATGCCTATAATGAATATTATGTCGATTCTTTTATTCTAGTTCCATTTTACTTACCCAGCTTTGTAACAGGAAAAAAGAAAGAAAATTGTATGGAAGGAAAAAAAAGTGTATACACTTATACAAATAAGTTCTTGTTGTTAAGTGCCATCGAGTCAGTTCTGACCCATAGTGACCCTGTACAGGGTTTTCGAGGCTGTAAATCTTTACAGGAGCATAAAGCCTCATCTTTCTCCCGCAGAGTGGCTGGTAGTTTCGAATTGCTGACCTTAAGGTTTGCAGCCCAATTCGTAACCACTACGATAAGTAGGCCTAAGAAGATTCTGGAAGGGGTCACAAGAAATTTGAAAAAAGTAGAATAAGGGGCTGAAAGAAGTAGGGGGCAGATTTACTTTTCATTTTAATACCCTTTCTTACTACTCATAGAATCTTCTTGTTGTGAAGTGCCATCAAGTCAGTTCCAACCCATAGCAACCCTATATAGGGTTTCCGAGGAGCAGCTGGTGAGCTTGAACTGGCTTTTGAGGAGCTGCTGGTAAGTTGTTGTTGTTGTTGTTATGTGCCATTGAGTCGGTTCCGACCCATAGCGACCCTGTATAGGGTTTCCGAGGGTGTAAATCTTTATGGGAGTAGAAAGCCTCATCTTTGGAACCATATTATTTATCTGCTTACATCGCTCTGTGGAGTCCCTAAGTGGTACAAATGGCTAACATTTAGTTGCAATCTCAAAGAAAGCCTGAAGGTTGGAGTCCACAGAGAATTGTCTCAGAAAAAAGGCCTAGTGATTTACTTCTGAAAAATCAGCCACTGAAAACCCTGTGGGGCACAGTGGTGCTCTGACACACAAGGGTTAGCCACCAGTCAGAATCCACTCCACGGCAACTCTCTGTACTCCCCAAGGTATCTCTGCTCAGTGTAGTGCGTTAGGGTAAAGACTTTCATCCTTGTAAGTTTATAGAACTGAGTTGAAATTTCACCTAAGCAACTTAGATGTATAACACACGTTTCCTATAAGCCTCACTCTCTCTCCTCATCTGCAAAATGGGGACAATAATACCTATGGTTTAAGATTGTTGCATAAATCAACAGAGAAGGACCACCACTCACCTCCCATGGGATTTAGCATTAACTGAATGTACTCTAAACTTTAGTTTTCTTCTCTTTCTCTCTCCTTAGCCTTCTTAAGACCCCAAAATGAAATGCTCACCAGGAAACAGGAGTCCTGGTGTGATGCTGTGGGTTAATGCGTCAGATCACAAAGTCGTTTGAACTGCAAGGGCAGTGGTTCAAGCTCACCAGCTGCTCCTTAGAAACCCTATGCAGGGTCACTATGAGTTGGAATCGACTTGATGACACTTAACAACAAACTAGGAAATAGCTCCAGACATATCTATTATGCTGTTTCTTTGATTTGAAATGCTCAACATCTCTTCCCCATAACTCTAATCTTACCCTTTCTTAAATACCCATTGCAATAAGTATCTATTCCAGGAAGCTTTCCTCACCTAAGCAAGGCCGCAACAATCTTCACTCTTTGAAAGGCGCACCTTTCATGATGAATACCAAGAAATTAAATTACAGATCATATGAGGGAGGTTCAAAAAGTTCGTGGAAAAATTCCTTTATCTCTCATTCCATTTCCCCACAAGTTTTGTCAAGCTGCCTCATATATTCATTCATACCATTTTCAAGTGGTTTTATCAATATGTAATTCATGAATAGGTTTCTCAAAAGTAGTCATACTTTTTTTTAGGAGAAAGAGTTACCTTCTATTATCTTCATATTTTACACTGTACTCACTAGGCATTAAATACACAGTCACTTACAATAAATACTTGTTAACCTAGCTAAAAGGGAAATGGGGCATAAAACATAGTGTTAAAATCAAGTAAAGAGCATGTAATAGCTTTCAATTTGCATTCAAGCATATGCAGTCAATTGCAGAAGCTTTGTTCTGAGCAAAACTTCATCTGCAAAAAAAAAAAAGATCATTTTATGCTAAAGCCAAGTAGATCTGAAGGTGGATATTCAAAGTCATAGCCAATGCTTCAGAAGACTAGGAAATAATACTTTTGCATTTTGACTAACAATGTAGTTTATTATTTCCAACAAGTTGAGAAGAGGCACTCTCTGTGAAGCTGTGTTACCTGTCTTTGGCAGTAGCCAGCTCCTTGGCCATATCCTTCCAGCTGCAATGTGTGTACCTTCAAGGAATGTAATCTAGCCAAGGTTTCGATCATGTTCACATATATGGCAGAGCGCTCTGCTGGGCTAACTCCAGGAACTGTGAAATCACGAAAGATTCTCCCCTATGAAAGAGATTAGAATAGACAATTAAATTTTTAATACCAGTTAATTGCTGCTTCATCATCCCTACTCCTTACAAAGCCTGAAAAAGATCAAGATAACAGCTTTGTAACCAATACCAATTCTTTGTAGACTATGCTGGAAAATATTCATTTTTAAATATTTAATGTAAGAGTATGTGCTCCAAAAGAAATTGCAAGGATTTAAAGACCAAAGCCTACTCTTGTTATGTTCTATAAAAATATGAATAGTCTGGTTATTTTTCTTCTTGTTGTTGTTAAGTACCGTTGGAGTCGCCTTCTACTCATAGTGACCCTACACAGGGTTTCCAAGGCTATAAATCTTTAGGAGGGCAGAACGCCTCATCTTTCTCCCGCGGAATCACTGGTAGGTTCGAACTGCCGACCTTGAGGTTAGTAGCCCGATTCGTAACCACTATGCTACCAGAGCTCCTTGGTTATTTTTCTTAGTGACTTGATAATCTGTTAGTAGCTTCTCATTCCCTTCTTCCCAACCTCCCTTCCTACTCCACTATCCAGAGTTTGGTTTATTGCCATATATCAAATAGCTTTTTATGAGTCCTGGTAGGGAGTGGGTTACGAGTCGGGCTTCTAACTGCAGGGTCAGCAGTTGAATCTACCAGTCACTCCTAACGAGAAAGATGAAGCTTTCTGCTCCGGTAAAGATTCATAGTCTCGGAAACTGTTACTGTTGTTCAGTGCCATCAAGTCGGTTCTAATTTATAGCAACCCTGTATAGCTTTCCAAGGAGCAGCTGGTGGATTTGAACCACTGACCACTGCAGTTCAAACTGATGTTGCAGACCAGTGCTTACCCAACAGTACCATACCAGGACTCTGGAAACTGTACAGGGTGGCTATGACTCTAGGGTACACAACCACCACCACCAACATCATGGCTCTTTACTGACACCTAGAGGAGAGCTCAAGAATAAATCAATATGCCCTACTTAACCAAATTTGTTCCTGGTCTATTTCATCCCTTCCAAATTTAGTGCTTTGAAATTAAAACAGAAGTTTAAACCTTTGAAAAGTAGTCTAATTATTTTAAATGTTGAATAAGGAACTCTATTATTGAGCAACATCTAACTTCATAAGTAAATATAAGATCCACAACAAAATAAGATTAAATGATAAACTTACCTGAATGTGTTCCATCACATAAAATTCTGTTCCAATAATAGAAACATCACTGCAGTACAGTAAAGGCTTGGGAACAGGGAATCCAACTGAGTGCAAGGCTTCCTGGACTTTAAATTCTCTATCAATCTAAATAGGATGATGAATTATTAAACATTAGAAACACAGACCTTTAAAAAGTACTCCTGAACTAACATTAAAGCTAGAAATACTTGTACATGCTAAAACAAAATCAACGAATAACCTAGAAGACACTGGTAATAATTTCCTTACAAGTACTCTTACTTTAATCATTATTAACATGTTAGATCAATCAATTAATTAGGTTAGAAGGATGGACACTTGCATTGTTGTTGTTGTTAAGTGCCGTCGAGTCGGTTCCGACCCATAGCGACCCTGTACAGGGTTTCCGAGGATGTAAATCCTTACGGGAGTAGAAAGCCTCATCTTTCTCCCGCGGAGCGGCTGGTAGTTTCGAACCACTGACCTTAAGGTTCGCAGCCCGATTCGTAAGCACTACGCTACCAGAGCTCCTTCGGACACTTGCAATGGACTTATGTAAAGGAAAGAGTTCCTGACCAACACTTGAGATTTTATCATAAAGCATCCTTTTGTTTGGTGTACTGGTGTTTTCTCTCTTATCTTTCCCCAGGGTACCCTGGCAAGTCTCTGTTCTAGCTGTAGCAACAGTCACTAGAAGGAGAACAGGCAAGCCCCCCTGTATAGCAGCTTCCTCAGCATCCAGAGTGCATTCAGTACTGTAGCACTAAGTCTACCAGACTGCATCCTCAAACCAGGAGAGATGCCCTCAACTCTGCTCATATAAAGTCTCCAAATTTAGACTTTCTAAATACAAAAATAATGTATTTAGAATAACATAACACACAAATTATGTTTCAAAACTCATTTTAAAAACACCAAAAATTCTTAGGTTCCCTCAGTCTGGGCTGTTTCCATATCAAATACTAATCACTGCTAAAATTGAAGAAGATGCACTAACAAGAAAGGGATACACAGGGCTTTAGGAACACTAAGATTGAACTTAAGGAGCTCTGGTAGCGTAGTGGTTATGAATCGGGCTGCGAACTGCAATGTCAGCAGTTCGAAACTACCAACTGTTCCACGGGAGAAAGATGAGGCTTTCTGCTCCCGTAAAGATTTACAGCCTCGGAAACCCTGTACAGGGTCACTATGAGTTGGAACCAACTCCACGGCACATAACAACGACAGACTCCACGGCACATAACAACAACAAAGGAGGAGGTTTAGATAATATAGTAGTTTTCAAATTAGGCAAAAGAAAAATGAAGTCGATCAAGGAGCTATGGAATTTGAATAAAGTCACTTGATACCTGATTTCTGATATATACAAAGGAACTTCAAAAAGTTCATGGAAAATGGAATTAAAAGATATGAAAATTCCCCACAAACTTTTTGAAGCCTCCTCATATTCTAGGGAAGTCCTGGTGTGGCGCTGTGGGTTAATGCACCAGACTGCAAAGCCGTTTGAACTGCAAGGTCGGTAGTTCAAGCTCACCATTTGCTCCTTGGAAACCCTCTACAGGGTCGCTATGGGTCGGAATCAACTCGACGGCACTTAACAACAACAACAACATATTCTAGGAGGACTCCTGGTGTGGCACAGTAGGATCAGCACTAGAAATGCAAACCACAGGGTTGGCAATGCTGCTCCTCAGAAACCCTATAGATGTTCAAAAGAGTTGGCAGTACTCAAAAACAACATATTCTAGGAAAGGATACTTCCTTGTACCACCTACCCATCCTACCCCACAAAGAACAGTGTACAGATTAGAAAAAAAAAATTGTAAATTCAAATGTCTACAGGGACCCAGAGGGTGTAAATTGCAGAAGTGGCTAGAGAGAGGTTGGACTGTTACATTTTACAAAGCCTGTGTCCCCTCTAGAGGAGACAACTGCTTAGTGCTGTAGCAGATTGTAGCAGATTGTTGCTATGTGGGAATGCTTGCAAAATTCTGCTGACTCAACCACCCAACCAGATACTGCTGAGAGCCAGAGAGATCATGAGTGAGAAGAGAAATGTTTCAGGCAAGGTGGAGGATAAGCTGTAAACTGGAAATTGCATGGGGTTGGTGGAGGCTTTTGAGTACTAGTGGGAAGGGAAATAAACTCACTTCTTTAGGATATCAAAGGAGATACATGCTTCTAAGAAAGGGTGTGGGGATTTCTCCTGGTGCCCGGAGCTTCTCCGGAGCACATGATAACTATTGCAAAAGTGGTAAGTTAAAGGCAAGCAGGTATGAAACAGGAGTCCAAATACAATACTGAGAAGAAAATGACCGTCATAAATGAGACAGGTGTGCGGGCCCATCACCGAAAACCTTAGAGCACAGTTTACAGCAGAGCTGGGATGCAGACCAGGTAAAGATGACTCATCTGTATGCAAAGCTGTTTTGCCCTAGACTCAGCTAATGGTGACCAGGCACTCCTGAGGAGGGAAAGCATGCAGTTCATTTGGACAGTAGAAAGTAAAGCAACAGCTACTGCAATTACTGGGTCTGGGAAGGGCCAAACCACTGCCCAGGTGAAAGCAGCTAATGGGCCAATGGCTGGAGTGAGAAGTGTTTGCAATATAACCACTCTGGTGTTGGAAAATGGAAGAGACATAAAGGTTAGGCAGGGAAGGAAAGGAGAATGAAGCAATGAGAGTGGGAACATTGCTTTTCGCAATGCAGACTTTGAAAAAGCTGGAGTTGACCATAGTACTCCAGATCCTCAGCCATGTCTTGTTAAGAAGATTTAGTAAACATTACCCAAGGCTTGATGCTATTATAAGCATCCAAGTTACTTCATGTTTCCAGAAATATGATAGGGTCCAGAAAGTAAAGGGTGCCAAATTACAGAAGGAAAGGTTTAAGTCAGAATCTGTATTTTTCTATTACTGTGATATTAACCCCACTGCTTCCCTCCCCAGTGAAGGTAGGCCTGGGAATCACCTGTTATTCATAACTCAAGAAAGACACTAAATAAATACAACAAAACCCAAAAACCAGTTGCTATCAAGTCAATTACAACTCATGATCCATGTGTGTCAGAGTAGGGCTGTGTTATATAGGGTTTTCAACCATTCTTCCAAGGAGGTTGGTGGACTCCAGTATACAGTTTTTGGTTAATGGTTAAGAGTTTAATCATTTGTACCTCCCAGGGACTATATTATAATACATGATCACAATATTCCTAACACACAAGTGGTTTTAATGTTCTCTAGTACTTTGATACCTGTTCTCTAAACATGTATGTTCTAAACATAATACCTGTTTTCTGAAAACATTAAACTCAGTTGTTGTTTTTTTAACAAAAATCTTTTATAATCCTTATCAATATGTCTAATGTTTAGATACTGAAGAGTGCTTATTAAAAGCCTTCTTTTCAGAGAATAATCATAACATATCAGAAACTAATCATAGCAAATTTATCCAATAATTCACTGTTGTTCGTTGTTAAATGCCATCGAGCCGTAGAAACTCTGGATAGGATTTCCGAGAAACAGATGGTGGGTTTGAACCACTGACCTTATGGTTAGAAGTCTAGTGCTTATCTTACAATAAATAAACCAATAAATCATTAGTTGATATTATTATTATAAAATATAGTAATGCCCCTATTTTACATAATTTAAATATATAACTAAAGTGAGATCCACCCATAAATAAGTAGTACCAAAAATATTCACAGAATGACTCTACATCTGACAAATTGTACAGAGAGAAATCAAACCTTGGTGTTGCTAAGACTTACATACTAGAGATTTCAACAAGTCCTTGTTAAAAAATGGAAAGGGATACAATTCAAATGAAATTGTAATATATCTAAGAAAATGCATTTTATATTGCTTAGTAATCATGAGCTGTACTTTAAAAACAAACAACATTTTTTTGTGTACATATAAAATCACTTGTTTGACACCAAAACATTTACCTTTACATCTGTGTATCATACCTTGTGTGCTTTAGGAAGAAGTGAACCCGGTGGTTTTTTCCTGAGTACATATGCTTTAATGCCCTTCTGGAGATAAAAGGTTGGGTTGGACTGTCCTAATCTAGATAAGAGTAGAGAACGGGTCAGTTACAAATAGATATATTTACCTTCTTCCAAATCCTACTGAAATGACAGAAGAAACATGAAAGGAAACTGTATCTATCTCAATGCTGGAAAGCCAAGAGAGATGTTCCCAGCAGTCTACAGCAGCTATTTCTAGATGACAATATAGCACAAGGCAACATACTGGCAATTGGGGAAACTATAAACCAGGAGGCAGAAGACAGGACTCCCTACTGTGAAAAACATGAGTTTTATCAGAAGTAGCCCTAGAACAACACCTAGATCTAATGCAACAAAGTCAGGAAGAAGAATATTTGGGTGTGGTGCTGTAGAATAAGTACTGGAATGCTAACTGCAAGGTCAGTGATTCAAACCCCCCAGGAGTTCCTTGGAAACGCTTTACAGGTTTTCTATGAGTCAGAAACGACTTGATGGCACTTCACAACAAGATATCAGAAATTTAATTAAAGGATGCTAGAAGAATTGGTTATTGACGCCTCATCTGCTCTTGGCACAGATAATCGGCCAAGGATATCACCCAATTAAAGTTTCCTACGATACAAGTTCTGATAACCAAGGTGCCAAAGATAACCAGGAAAGTGCAGGGAGTTCCAGCTAACTCACACATACCAGCTTTCCTCATTAGGACTACAGAAAATTTCATAGGAACTAAGGAAATACATTCTAACTACCAAAATTATTCAATCTAGACCATCACTTACAAGTTATACATGATTAAGACTTAACCAATTTTTGAATAGTCCAGCAGGAAGAAAAAAGGCTCTAACTAAATAAACAGAAGAATCAATCCCCGAGATAACTGGTAATAGAGGACAGTGAAAAAACCTTTTTCATGAAGGTATTCTGAGAGGCTTAAGGGGAGAACTTAACCCATAAAAACAATAAAACATGAGTTGTTAAAGAACAGTTGCAGTTCTTGCAGGATGGGGGAAAAACAAACACAATAGCCTATTCCACATCAAGAGATGAGTGAAATTGCAGAATGGATGAGGCTGAAGATCAAATTAGAGCTGGAGGGCAGATCTCCTTAAAGGAGCCATGGGTTCTGGCTATTGGAAGCTATTTTGTTCGTTATTTGATTTTACTGTTATTATTTTTAAAGTTTTTATTGTGAATTGAGTGGAAGTTACAGCCAAGATCATCAATTTTGCATTCAGTGAACTATACACTGTTTCATCTCAGTAATTGTAGTCCCCTCCACACAACAACGGTTATCTGCTTCCTCCCTGTGCTCATTTCCATTCCACCCTCCTTCCCGTCCCTTCTCAACTTTGTCCCTAGGTACATGTTGCCTTTTCATTTTGAATGACTGACCATTCCATGGTGTGTACACCGTTCTAGTGTTCTTGTTCCCCCATATACCTGCCTACTGCTTGGCTGAAAATTGGACCATGAGGGTGAGTTCCATTCCAGACTGGAAGGGTGGTTGAGGGCCATAGTCTCAAGTCCCTCTAGTCTCTCTATGACTAGTAAACCCAGTCCTTTTCTAAAAATAATTCTTATTTTTGTTCCACATTTTCTCCCATTCTACCTGGGACCCTCT